GAAGATCCTGTCGGAACATGAAGTCCAGGCAACGGCTGGCCCTTCCTCCAACCACGCCCCCACCCCTACTGTAACTTCACCACATCTCAAGGCAAAAGCAAAACGTGAATCTCCTTCCCAGCCTGAATTCTGACCTCAGTTCCTGTGGGCACTATGCCTCCCACAACCACGCCAGGCTCCCGGGGGCCCTCGGGCCATGGTCCTGGAGAACAGAGCAGAGGCCAGGGCTGGCGATGACCCCAGAGTGATACACAGGGTGCCGGGGATGCCGATTAGATTTCCTACCTCTCCTTAGGGCCTGGATAGGACGAGAGGGTGGATGGCCTGTGGGGGCCACTTTTCAGGAAACAGCTACCTTGCAGCAAAGCCCTAGCCCTTCTGTCTCTTACCAGCCTGCCCTTTCCTCCTGAGGTCATCAAAGGTCAGATGAGTTCAGTTCTCTCTTCTACTCACTGGCAGGAACAAGTGCTCACCCTAGGTAGCTTACTTCTAAGGCAAGCCTGACAGCATGAACACACACACACACACACACACACACACACACACACACACTGCACACTATTGCCTTGGGCCTCAGGCCACAGTGGCTACCTGGCAAGGCTGGGGGAACCCTCCAGGGGGCCTTCATCAGCAATCTCGGGCTTGGGGTCAGGCAGGGGGATGATATAGTCATTGTCACTCTCGTTGGGCTGCACAGCAGTGTAGAGCACAGAGCTGGTGTCCAGGGGGGATCGGAGTCCATTGAAGCCGGGAAAGCGGGCTTGGGACCGAAGGACGGCTGGGTGGTCGCTCCTCAGAAACTCCTCATCCACCTGCTGGTACTTCTGCTCCACAGGGAGGGAGAACCCAAGAGAGAGGGATGTTCAGACCAGAAATGCCCGTGGGGATCATCTAGCATCAGACTCTGACCTGGCCCCTCCTGCCTAAGGCAACTGGTGCTCAGAGAGGAAGGAGACCTACCCAAAGCCTCACAGCCAGGAGGCTCTCCCACCTGGCATCTCACAAGACCAGGTGAGCTCAGGGCCCCCCAGGGAG